TGGGCGTAGGTGGTGGTGGGATAGGGGGTGGGGCGCGCGCAGCGCGCCGTGCCAAAAACACTTGCGACTTACGTGTTTAATCAACTTTCTCAGCCTGTATCTCCGAAACTATTTGAGTCCGGCCCTTATATATATATATGAAATGACTCGGGAAGATATCCCCAACAACATATTTAAAAATGAAGCAAATCGGAGAGGAGGCCCCTTTTATGCATAATTACCGACCATCTTTCCTTAACGACTTTTTTTAGTAGATTAGTACACTGTTAGGGGCCTATTTTGTAAGTCTTAAAAATTGCTGTTATGAAACAATTTTCGTTAACAAATGACTTTTCTTTATTCTGTAAGTAATGACTGTTGTTAATTAATGACAAAATGGCGTCAAAATTGTCGTAAACTTAACAACAGGCAGAGAGGTGTTGTTAAATGAGCACAAAGTCATTATAAGATATATAACCTACAATATTGAAACTATGCTGTCATTACGGTACACATGCGAATTTCTTCTTTAATACAATTCGTATTGCCTACGTGTAGTTTTTTAGCAGCACGTTTTTTCTTTTCTTCCTTATATCCATCCTGTATGAAATACGTAGTATTTTAATCCACGCACACAGGCGCACACACACACACACGCGCGCGCGCGCGCGCGCACGCATACACACACGCAAACGCCCACGCACACGCACACACACATATATGTATACATACGTACGTACGTATATGTGTGTATACACATATATGTGTGTATACACTTTCTATATAATAATTACCTTTATATAATATAATTGTATAATTATGTATTATGTAATATAAAATTATTAAGCAGTTTAATAAATGTATTGTCAATACTGATAATATATAATTTTCATTACACATACTATAGCCTTTCAGTACTGGTAATATAGAAATAAAAACATATTTAGGTTACCCTTACGAAAAAGTAACGAAATAATTATTAGAAAATTACTGTACCTATATCAGTAATTGAACTATCAGAAATTACTGATGTACAGTAATTTTCTAATAATTATTTCGGTATTTGCTTTTCCGTGCTTTTCCGTAAGGGTAAAGGGGCCTATTCTGTTTAATCATTATAAAACGATGTTGTTATGATAACGACTCTCTTGTGAACGACTGTTTAATGACAATTTGTAAAAAGTTATTCTGTACACATGTTGTTAAAGTACGAATGACCATCTCTCTGTAACGACTTTTTTTAGTGGATTAGTACAACTGTTTAACCTAGATATGTTTTTATTTCTACATTACCAGTACTGATAGACTTTTATAGTACCTGTAATGAAAATTATATATGTATTTTCAGTATTGACAATACATTATTATATTATATAAAGGTAATTATTATGTAGAGAGAGAATGCATACACACACATATACATATAATATATGTACGTACGTACGTGCGTGCGTGCGTGCGTGTGTGTATGTGTGTGTGAAAATAATATGTATTTTATTCAGGATGGATAATAAGAATGAAAAGAAAAAACGTGCTGCTAAAACTATACATAGGCAATACGAGTTGTATTTGGAAGAACTTCGCGCAAATAAAGCATTTAGAGAAAACGAGTTTGATGCAACACAACCTAATATTATTGATGAATCATGGCAGAAACTTTGTAAAAAACTAATGCTTCTGGGGGACCAGTAAAATCAACCTAAGCGTGGAAAAGGGTAAATTTTAATAATAAACTAGTTTATACTTTGCAACATAATATTAGTAAACTCGACTATCATATAATTTGTAATTTTTATACACGATCACATGTATCACATGTGTACCGCAATAACAGTGTAGTCTTAATATTGTAGGTTATATATCTTATAATGACTTTGCTCATTTAACAACACCTCTCTGGCTGTTGTTAAGTTTACGACAATTTTGACGCCATTTTGTCATTAATTAACAACAGTCATTACTTATAGAATAAGAAAAGTCATTCGTTAACGACAATTGTTTTATAACAACATCGTTAAGACTTACAGAATAAGCCCCTTAACCTATGGTGACCGGTGGTTGAGCACTCTTACTTACGTCGAGGATCGCGATGTGGCTTATTATTGTAACTTTTTAACCGACTACCTCCTGGAGCCAGAGCTATTGACGCTGACTACGGGCAGCGGTTCGTCTAGGCAGAGCTCAGAGAACTGAATGCGAATTCGGGCTCCGATGGCCCGCCTTTTATACTGTTAGCTTATGGGGCAAGTGCGGAAGTGGTGATGGGCGGGGGCCCTTCGATTATTTTCTTAATTTATTAATTTGTACCTTAATTAGTACTCCGACTAACTTGAGTCTTGGTTAGCTTAAAAAGGGGCCTCCGCTCGTCATTTTCCCGCTTACTCCTTATTAACTGCATCTTGCGTTCCCGAGTAATTAACGCGCATACCAATCTCGCGTTTTTGTGCATAGAGTTCCGCTATGCCGCTCCGAAGTGTGTAAACACGGAACATTCTAGAATTTCGTCGCTGGATTCGAGGTTACTGTGACATTTTATTTGTATTTCTTACAACTTGGGTGTCGACCACCCCTGAACTTTGTCTGGGTTGCCGCGTCCCGAAAAGTCTTCTATACTGTTTGCGTCACTGCGTCGGCGAGGTACGCTCGGCGAGGTGTGCTCCCGTGGTCGGAGTCGTCGCTCACGACTAAGCACACCCTCGGTGTCCTGGGTCGTTCCGGTGGATCTCGCCGCGGGTCCGGTTCTGGTGCGCTTGGCCGACAATCCGTGGGTGCATCCGCCTTGGGACGCTTGGTCTGGAGGTGTACGGGCAGCGGCTGCGTCCGTTTCCGCAGTGAGATCAGTTCCTTTTCGAAGGGAGGATGCGGAGGCCGGTCTCCCTTGTGGTCCCTGCTCCGGGACTTGCTTCCTTTGTGGGAACGGGGCTCCCGGTTCTCCTTGCTCGCCCGGCTTCTGGATTTTACCGCCTTGCGAATGTCGGTGGTGTCCGCGGGAGTCCCCGAGGAATCGGCAGGCGTCGCGGCGTCCGGCGCCGGGGCCATGCTTGGAGACCCCGTGGTGTCTGGCGTCAGGCGCCTGAGGGAGGCGACTAGCGTCCGGTACAGCGGCTGGCGCTCGGAGGAAGCGGCTGGCGCTCTGGTGAAGCGGTTGACGCTTCCCGGAAGGCGACTGGCGCCCGTAGGAGCGGCTGGCGCTCGTAGGAAGGCGGTTGACGCCTGGTGAAGCGGCTGGCGCTTCCCGGAGGGCGACTGGCGCCCGTAGGAGCGGCTAGCGCTCGAAGGAAGGCGGTTGACGCCTGGTAAAGCGGCTGGCGCTCGAAGGAAGGCGGTTGACGCCTGGTGAAGCGGCTGGCGCTCGGAGGTCTTCTTCGCTGGCGACTGGCGCTTCTTGCGTTGGGCGTCTAGCGCTCTCGCAGAATGTCCTTGGGCGACTGGCGCTCGGAGGCTCCTTCCTCGGTGACTAGCGCCGGAAAATCTGATTAAAATTTGCTGCGGGGGTCCTCCTTTTATCCTAGAGTTGCCCAAATCTTGATCGCAGGTTTGTCGCCCACGCCGCTCGCCACCTATCGGTGGCGCCGCGAACTACCGTATTCCGCGGCGTGCAGGCGCGTGCCATATGGCGCGGCGCCCTGTGGCTGCCGTAGGCCGCCACAATTAGTCTTTATGAAAATTAACACTGTCTTTTAAAATTACAAAAAATAGGTTTTTCCCCAAAATATTTTTTTTACTTATAGCATTTTTCATTGGCAAAATTGGCGCGCACTGAGTGCACACCAAGGCTTGTTCATACTCGCAGAGATTTTTCTTTTAAAATTTATCCTGAAAATATTGTAATTGTGGGACAACACGGCATTTCAAAGAATTTTATGGGAGTTTTTTGAAATTTGACCATACATTTTACTAGTAAAATGTGTACTAACAATAAGTGTAATTACTATTGAAATGTATGGTAAAATTTAAAAAAACTCTTAAGACCTGTGGTGGCCTAAGTTCTAGCATCGTGGACACAGGCCTTCATAAAATTCTTCAAAATGCCATGTTGTCCCGTGATTACACAATTTTCAGAATAAATTTTGAGAGAAAATTCTCTCCTTGTAGCCAATAAGCATTTCAAAAGGTATTTAAGACGATCCTTAAATACAAGATTGAACAAACTTTAGCGTGCACTCAGCGCGCACCAGTTCTGCCATCGAAAAACGCCGTCAGTTTCTTATTCTATTAAAAACAAACTCGGTCTTTTACATCTCTACGAGTACCGATTTGGCGGAAAGTGAGCGGATGAAGAGAATTCGCAGTTCACTCACGTGATTACAAGGGTGACGCCGACCGAAACCTCGTCTTTACGAACGATCGCCCATGTGTTCTGCACCAGCCTCTTTTGCTTCTCGGTCAGGCCGAGTTTCTCGTCTACTTCATTGTCGTTAAAGAAATCGAACAGGGGGGGGGGGGCACGGAACAACGCCATTGTTCGCTTCGCCGTGCGGGAATGGAGAGCCTGATCTATGGAAAACAATTGCACCGTTGATCAGATGATTATTCCGCAAATGATCTTCAATGGGAGACTCAGCTTCTCGTCGCGAGAGTAAACGCTTGCACATGCGATATTAGCGTTAAACGCACGATTGCGCCTCAATGTCCTTTCGCGAAACTTGACGATTGAAATCGGCCGCGACTTAGGCCCGGTTTCACCAACGTCGCTGAACTTTAAACTTAGTTTAATTCGTTCTTTGTCTTTTTGCAACTGTGTGACCTTCTTTCCTTGCTACGGATAGCTCGGAGTATGGACCGGGGTCCGGGCGGTGGGAATTGGCCAATAGACTGCACGCTCCGTTCGTTTTCCGTCTTTTATTCTTTCATATGTTGCCCTAGGCTAATATAATACAGGTCCCTGCGCTATTAACTTCTAATATCTTATCGCCTACTATCTTAATATCTAGTTCCTTAATATCTAGCACCTTAATACCTAAACGCCGGTACGCGGTCGTATTCCCCCTGGGTCTGGCCGCGGTGCGACGACGCGGGGTTGCGGCGGCGAAGTCGGCCCCTCGGGTCGGGGCCTCGGTAGGGCGGGCGGACGGGGCGGGCGTGCTCAACACGTATGTCGGTATTGAAGGAGTGTACTCAGCACGTACATCGGGGTCGGTGGGACGCGCTCAACACGCACGTCGGAGTGTCGGCCGTACTCAGCGTCGGTATTGAAGGAGTGTACTCAGCTCGTACGGTAGGATCAGAGGGATGTGCTCAGCACGCACGTCGGGAAGGGGGGGGGCCCCGTTCAACACACGAGGCGATGGAGTCTCTCTCAAAGCTCAGCTCGCCTTTTGAGAGCATGTGCCAGCTCAACTCGCCGGGCGGGAATGGTGCTTCGGTGGGCGCGCGGTGCCGTTATATAGGCGCAAGTGGGAGGTGAGCGGCAGAGAGACGAGGCGGGGGATCGCGCGCAAGGAGGGGGTGCCGGAGCTATACGCGGTGTTCGCTGGCGACTCGTTACACCTCCCCCTTGGCAGACCCGCGCGTGATACATGTGTCTAGCTTTTTATTACTCTATCTTACACGGAATTCGCCGGTTCGCAGCCGTTTTACGATGATCGTACGGTGGGGGGTGCGGTGCCGGTAACGCTGGCCCGGCCGGATCCGTTCCCAGGAGATTGCCCTTAGTTCCTCGTCGGGGAGAGTCGAGTACCCCTGGAACGGCCCGCTGCCGGGCGAGCCCGTGATGGCAGGAGGGTCCTCTTTTCCGGCGCTGGCGGGGACTCCGGGTGTTGGCGGTGGTGTTGGTGGAACCGCGTTGGTGGCCACGAGAGGTGCCTCCGGAGCCTCGGGGACCGTGTTGTTGGGGGGTGTCGGCTCGTCCTCCAAATCGGAGAGGGATCCGAAGAGGGCTTCCAGCTCCTCGCACATGGCCTTGTTGGACCGCATCGCTTCCTCGTACAGGAGTAGGATGGCGGGAGCGGGTGGTTCGGCTGCGTGCCACGGCTGGGGGTCGACCTGGTGTGGCCGGAGTCGGCGGTGGTGCGGGTGCCTTCGGTGGTATCCGGGCCGGACCCTTGCGCGGGGTTGCTTCCGGCGGGAGGACTCGTTGCGGCTTCCTCGGGGGTGCTGCCATGGCCCTGGCGAAGCGCTGCCTCAGTTTCCCCAGCCGGGAGTCGGGTTTTCGGCTTGGTCGTCGCTTGTCGTGCTCCATGACTAATGCTGGCTTCCGATCGGTCGCGACGGCCTTATATTCGGTGCGGGCGGCTTTTTCAGACGCTTTTTAGATCCTTCAAGTGTGCTATGCCGGCCCGCCGATTGTTGTGATCACGCAGACGGGCGATGACCGGTGATAGTAGTCTTTCTACGGTGTACGGTCCCGTGTATCGCGGCGCGAGTTTGCCCGCGAAACCTTCGGCCGCTTTAGATAGCGGATGCTCCCTTCGCATGACCTGGCTCCCAATAGCTGGTTTCCAGTCCCGGCGGCGGAGATTGTAATATCGCTCTTGGCGGGCGGTGGCTTCGTCTTGTCGCAAGACCGCCACTTCGTATTCCTCTCGCATTCGTTCGATCTGTTGCAGTCGCGCCGTTGGTCTTTGTTCGGCTCCGGCATCTTTCTTAAGCGGGGCTTCATGTTGTGCGCGCAACGTCCCGGGAGTTTCTAGTTCTCGTCCGTAGGTCCGTAGGTTAGGCGGGCCGGGGTGTACCCGGTGCTGTCGTGCACTGCCGTGTTAATCGCGAATGTGAGCAGGGGTAGTTTCTTATCCCAGTGTCGGTGATTTCCTTCGGTAAATTGCGCGATCATTGTTTTCATAGTTCGGTTTGCGCGCTCCACGGGGTTGCACTGGGGGGAGTAGGGCGGTGTGCGTCGGTGCTGGATCCCAGCTTGTGCTGCCATCTCGCGGAATTCTCGGCTCTCGAATTGTTTCCCGTTGTCGGTAATGATGCGTCGGGGGCAGTCATGCTGGTAGAGCACGCACTCCTTGATGGTGCGTGTGACTGCCGCTGCGGTGGCTTGTCGTAGAGGGCGCGTTATGAGCCATTTGGTGAATGTGTCTTGACAGACCAGTATCCACGTGTGTCCGTTTGTGGACCGTGGTAGCGGGCCGATCAGGTCTATTGCCAGGACTTCGTTAGGGCCTTCTACTCGATCGTGGTGCAGGAGCCCGGCGGTTAGTCGTTGTTGGGGTTTGAACTGCTGACAGTTCTTGCACTGACGGACGTAGTTGGTGGCCTCTCTGAACATGCCCGGCCAGTAATATTTTTGAGCCAATCGGGCGAGCATTCTTGCTACTCCTAGGTGCCCGGCGGTAGCCTCATCGTGGCACTCTTTTAGTACTTGGTCTCGTAGTGGCTTCGGAACGCAGAATTTCCACGCCGCCTGGCTTGTTTGTTCGTCCGTGCTGTGTCGTTCGTGGAAATGGCGGTACAGATTCCCCTCGTGTATGCGGAAGTCTGGGTGCTTCTTCGGTTCGTTTTGTACGGCCAGCGCGGTCCGCTGGTACCAGGCACAAGTATCCTTGGGTAGTATAGCCGCCAGATCCCATTCGGCTGTTTCTACAGCCTCCTCCCCCTCGGCTAGAGGCTGGCGAGACAGTGCATCCGGCACGTGGTTGAGGGACCCCTTTCGGTATTCTATTTCAAAGTCGTGTTGCTGCAGGAACACCGCCCATCGAGCCAGCCGGCCCGTCGGATCCTCGAGGGTGCGGAGCCATCGGAGCGAGAAGTGATCCGTAATGACGCGGAAATGGTACCCCTCGAGATAGGGTCGCATTTTCTCTATTCCCCAAACCACGGCGAGGCACTCTTTCTCGGTCGCGGAGTAATGCTTCTCGCTTGGCCTGAGGGTGCGGCCAGCATAAGCGACCACTCGTTCTTCTTCGTTGACGTCCTGCGTCAGTACGGCCCCTAGTCCCTTGTCACTGGCGTCGGTTTGTAGCGTGAAGGTCTTCGTGAAGTCCGGGCACCGCAATACGGGTGCTGTGGCGAGGTCGTTCTTTACCCAGTGAGAACACTGACGTCGAATCAACGTCGAATCGACGTCGAATCGACGTTGATCAACGTCGATTCGACGTTGATTCGACGTCAGTGTTCTCACTGGGTACTTGTCGGTGTGCTTCCTGCTGGTCTGGTCCCCACTCCCACCGGGTTCCCTTACGGAGGAGTTCGTTCAGTGGTACCGTTACTTGTGCTAGGTTCGGGATGAAACGTCGGTATCAGGATGCCATGCCCAGGAATCGGCGGAGTTCCCCTACGTTCGTCGGGGTCGGCATGCCCAGTATCGCACTGACTTTTTCTGGGTCGGTCCGGAGCCCGCCTTGGTCTACTACGTGCCCGAGGTATCGCAGGCTGGTTCGGCCGAACTGGCATTTGTCCGGATTGAGACAGAGGTTGGCGTTAAGTAGGCGCTGGAGCACCTCCTCTAGATTTTGAAGGTGTTCCCCGAAGGTTTTGCCCAGCACGACGATGTCATCTAGGTAGGCGAAGGCTCGGGGCTCCATGTCTGGTCCTATAACCTGGTCCAGCAGACGCTGGAAGGTGGCGGGTGCGGCGTGCAATCCGAAGGGCATAACCTTGAATTGGAACTGTCCTCGTCCCGGGACGGCAAAAGCGGTCAGCGGCTTACTGGCTGGGTGAAGCGGCACCTGCCAGTATCCATTTTTGAGGTCGATGGTGGATAGATAGCGCGCCTCCCGCAATTGATCGAGTATGTGTTGTACCGGCGGCAACGGGTAGGCGTCTCTCTCGGTGACCTCGTTAATTCGGCGGAAGTCGATGCAAAATCGATGCTTCCCGTCCTTCTTCCTGGCTAGCACGACCCCCGAGTTCCAGGGGCTGCAGGTCGGTTCTATGCTCCCTTCCTGGAGCATTTTGTTGATCTCGGTGTCTATGATTCGTTGCATCGCGGGATTATACGTGCGGTAGCGCTGGCGTATTGGTACCTGGTCCGGTTTTAGTCGGATGTGGTGAGTTGCCAGCGGCGTTGTCCCCTGTACTTGTTAGAATTTCGGTAGCATTCTGTCCAGTAGCTGCCGCAGCCGCCCTTGCTGGTTCGTTGAGCAGGGGTTCAGGCCTCCTCCTTCCTTGGCGGTTGGTTTATTCTCGGGGCTCACGGCGGCAAGAGGCGGGATGCCCCATCGGAATCCGGCTTTCTGCAGTAGTCCCACCCCTGCGATAATGTCGGAGGTGAGATTTGGCAGCACGTGGAACGCCTGCCACCCGCGGAATCGTCCCATTCGCGTGTATCCTCGAAGCTCCTCCGTGACCGGGCTGATTCGTCCGTCGGCAAGATATGCGGCGGCCTGGATCCGCCGGCAGTGGGTGTGCGGGCGTAGGTGGTCGGCGGCCCTCTGGGAGATGTAGGAGAGAATTGCCCCGCAGTCCAGTAGAGCCGTATAGCGTTGCCCCTGTATCTCGAGTTCCGCGTGCGGTCGTGGATCGTTGGTGCGTGGACCCGGACGGATACTGGGAAGTTGGTGGCCTATGCGGTGTCTTCCTCCTTGGTGGGATTGTTGAGGGGCCCCGGCTTCCACGGCCGTGCCCGCGTTTCCCGGCCGTGTGCCATGACAATCGCGGGTGAGGACGCCTTCCTTCCCGCACTGGGAGCAGAAAACTTTCGGCGGTCGTCGGCAAAAGCGTCGCGTGTGCCCCCTTTGGCCGCAGCCCCAGCAGCAGTCACGTGGATTGTATTCGGCCGTGATCGCCGCAACCGCTGTTTTCGGTTGGTCCCTCCCTTTGTCACTCTTCGGTACGGGCCGGTAGTGCTGTTCGTATCTACGGATGCGTTCGTAGTCGTCAGCCAGCCGTAGCATCTCTGCCAGATCCTCGAAGTCGGACCTACGGATGAAGAGCTGGTACGTAAGTTGTGATAGGTCCGTTCGAGGCGGTCCTCCGGCGTCATCTCCTTATGGCGGCGCATGAGGGTCTGAATGGCCGTCACGTAGTCCCGTGCAGCCTCGGTCGGCCCCTGGGTCCGTCGTGCGATTGCTTCCTCCAGCTCGTATCGGGTCTTGGTGGGGACATAATACTGGCGGAAGCACTCCTCAAATTCCTTCCAGGTGGCCCATTGGTCTCGGTTGTTTCGATACCATAGGAGCGCCTGATCCTTAAACAGGAGCGGCAAGCAGTGGCGGAGCTGGTTGTGGGTCAGCCCGTAGCCCTCCTTCAGATCCTCGAGCCGTTCGAGGAAGGCGACCCCGTCTTTGCCGTCAAACTGGCATCCCCATTTGCGGACGGTGTCGAGTAGTGTGGTGGTGTCGGTTAGTGATCGGCGGCTACGGCCGGGCTTGGTCGGTTCGGTTTGGACCTTTTGTTCGTCGTCTTCCGCGGAGTCGGTTTCGTTGTCTGCGTCGGCGGCGTCCTTCTGCTCGGCTCGGACAGATTCCAGGAGTCGTGCGCGCAGTTCATCGCGGCTTCCTTCGGTCGGCAATTTGCGTTCGGTTAACTCGGCAATCAAAGCGTTTTTGGATAGCGCGTGTACCCAGCCGGTGCTGGTTTGCGGCATGGCGGCGGTTCCAGGTTAGAGCCCCCGTTGGCCCTCTCTTCCGTGGAGTCTTATTGGCCAAGTCCCTGTTCGGGCGCCATTTGTGACCTTCTTTCCTTGCTACGGATAGCTCGGAGTATGGACCGGGGTCCGGGCGACGGGAATTGGCCAATAGACTGCACGCTCCGTTCGTTTTCCGTCTTTTATTCTTTCATAAGTTGCCCTAGGCTAATATAATACAGGTCCCTGCGCTATTAACTTCTAATATCTTATCGCCTACTATCTTAATATCTAGTTCCTTAATATCTAGCACCTTAATACCTAAACGCCGGTACGCGGTCGTATTCCCCCTGGGTCTGGCCGCGGTGCGACGACGCGGGGTTGCGGCGGCGAAGTCGGCCCCTCGGGTCGGGGCCTCGGTAGGGCGGGCGGACGGGGCGGGCGTGCTCAACACGCACGTCGGAGTGTCGGCCGTACTCAGCTCGTACGGTAGGATCAGAGGGATGTGCTCAGCACGCACGTCGGGAAGGGGGGGGCCCGTTCAACACACGAGGCGATGGAGTCTCTCTCAAAGCTCAGCTCGCCTTTTGAGAGCATGTGCCGGCTCAACTCGCCGGGCGGGAATGGTGCTTCGGTGGGCGCGCGGTGCCGTTATATAGGCGCAAGTGGGAGGTGAGCGGCAGAGTGACGAGGCGAGGGATCGCGCGCAAGGAGGGGGTGCCGGAACTATACGCGGTGTTCGCTGGCGACTCGTTACAACTGTTACTTTAGAACGAGGCAAAGAACGAATTAAGCTAAGCTTAAAGCTAAACAACGTTGAAATCGGACCTTAATCGCGAGCGATTAATAATCCGAGTGAACGCAAAAATAATTCACAGTTGTTTTGATGAAACGGTGTGCAGTTTTATCGCGTTTCAATATCGACTCTTTCAAAGCGCCTGCTGTTGTGTCTTCAAAGTGAAGACCGGTGCATGGCACGTGTTGATCGAATAAATCCGACACGGTTGACGTGGTATTACTCAATTTATTGGTTCTTACAAAATAAACTGCGTGTCGGATGCGCTAGCCTGTGCTCGGCTTGACAGTTTCTTACTAACTAACTTCGGTCAGCGCCTCTTTCCCTAGAGGCGCGCTACGTTCACGTCACAAACAGAAAAATAAAAAATCCCGCGCTATTTGAATCTCTCTTGCGAATATGCTTACCACAACATACCGCGCGCCTTGATAACCCTTGCTTATCAACTAAACACCTGACTTAACAACTTATAACCTAATGCTATGATTTGTAAAGAATTAAAATTTTATTTCAACGCGGCAATTGGACAATATTCGCTCGCGTTGCAATTACCTTACGCACAAACAAAAATTTGATCGTATCAACTCAAAACACGGAAGAAGAAATATAATTGTCTTTGACATGGCCCGAATAATGCCACTGTATTAAAAGCTATACGTTAAACTATCTTAAAAGCTATATGTTAAGCTATATTAAAGGTTATATGACTAAATATTGTATACTATAAACGATATTACGAGTTATTCAATATGCCGCTCTGTCGGAACATTGCTCGAACGGCATAATGCTCAACCTCACTGCTGGCCTTTTAAACGCTCCCTTAGATGTCTTGATAACGGCGGCTCTGACAATTCCGTCGCTTCCGGGACAAACTTCTTGCACCCTCCCAAGCAACCATTTTAAGGAGGGCAATCCATCCTCCCTGCAGAGAACCAGCTGCCCGACCTGCAGCTGCATACCCCGATTCATCGTCCACTTAGAGCGTCGCTGGAGCTGCAGCAAGTATTCTGATGACCAGCGCTGCCACAAATGCTGCCGGATTTGCTCCACTCGCTGCCATCTTGATAGCCGGCCAATCTTAATGTGAGCCAAATCAGGCTCCGGGTAGGCTACTAACGCGTCGCCTATCAGAAAATGACCTGGGGAAATATAAGACAGATCATTAGCGTCCGAGGAGAGTGCTATCAGCGGTCTCGAATTGAGTATTGCCTCCACTTGTATCACGAGCGTAGTTGCCTCTTCAAAACTGAGAGCAGCCTCCGAAGCTACCTTGTAAAAATGAGCCTTAAACGACTTTACAGCCGCCTCCCACAATCCTCCAACATGTGGTGCTCGTGGTGGTATAAAATGCCACTTTATTCCATCTGACGATGTTGCGTCCACTATCTTGCGTTGATGCTCCTCCTTGGCCAATAGATTTCTCAATTCTTCCAATTCACGATTCGCACCTACAAAGTTGGTTCCATTGTCCGAGAATACGTCGGTGGGCCTTCCCCTGCGGCCAATAAAGCGCTTAAAGGAATTAAGGAAGGCGTCCGTCGACAATTCTGACACCACTTCAAGATGCACCGCCTTTGTAGCCATGCATATGAAGACTGCCACGTAGGCCTTGATACGTTTGCTACTCCTACGTTTACCCTCCTTGATATATATTGGTCCGCAAAAGTCCACGCCCGTGTTGCTGAATGGTCTGCTTGGCGTCACCTGGCAGGATGGAAGGTCACCCATCAATTGCTCTGACAAGCGTGGTCTAGCCTTAAAGCAGACAACACATTGACGAATAATCCTCTTGATGGTTCCGCGCGCCCTGAGCGGCCAATAACTTAGCCGAATGGCTGCAAGAGTTGCTTCTACTCCTGCATGCAAAAGCTTCTTGTGCTCGTGCTCGATGATTAACTCGGTTAACTTTGAACAGCGTGGCAGCAAGACTGGATGCTTAGCGTCATGTTGAAGCCTAGAGTGCCTCAACCTGCCGCCGACTCGAAGCAGCCCATCTGCATCGATAAAGGAATTCATATCTCTTAGGTTGCTTCTGCCCGACACTGCTCGGCCGTCCTTCAGAGCCTCTAACTCGCTGGAGAAATACGCCCTTTGCGCTCCCTTGATAAGACTCCTTCTGGCATACTCAATTTCCACGACCGATAAAGGGCCTGAAGCTTCGCCACTGTACTGCTTTCTGCAAAGCTGCGCGAAACGTAAGCATGTAGCCGTCACTCTAACTAATTTGTTGAATGTGGAGAATCTGGTAAATAAGTCAATATCTTCATGTAGAACGAGCATTGCGATAACCTCTGATCGGTCCGCTTCGTCCAGCCGGTTGTCATCTATTTCCTGGACCTCTAAACGGTACCTTATTAACCCGTCGTCCTCCAACCATGTAGGTCCCTTCCACCAGAGACTTGATTTTACTAATTCCCTCGGAGATACGCCCCTGGAGATTAAATCCGCTGGGTTTTCCTTGGTCCCGACGTGGTTCCAATCCTCCACCGTGCTCATTTCTTGTATCTCGCCTACCCTGTGAGCGACGAAGACTGGCAGTTTTTTATTTGTACCTTTGAGCCAATGCAGAACTATCGATGAGTCCGTCCAATAATAGCATTTGTTAATATGAATATCCAATGAGCTCTTCACCTTGTCCATCAATTGAGTGAGTAATTGAGCACCGCACAATTCCAATCTTGGGATAGATATCGCTTTAACTGGAGCCACACGGGATTTAGAGCATAGTAATTGTGCTTGTATAAAACCTTGAGTATCGCTGCTCCGTACGTAAATGCATGCGCCGTAGGCTCGTTCACTTGCGTCGCAGAATCCGTGAAGTTCAAACTGTAAGTTAGTGCCGGAACCAATCGCCTTGCGGGGTATGGCGATTCCGCCGAGATCTTGCATTTTTATGACGTAGTCCAACCACTCCGTGTGTATTTCGGATGGCAAGGACTCGTCCCAATCGATTTTTAATTTTCAAAGCTTTTGAATTATTAGCTTAGCGTTGACTATAATTGGTCCCAAAAGTCCGAGCGGATCGAAAATCTGGGAAATGCTAGCCAGAATGGACCTTTTTGTGCAAACTCCTCGTGCTGGTGTTTCCAAAGCGATCGTATACTGGAATACGTCCTTTTCAGGGTTCCATTTTATTCCTAATGTCTTCGCTGTCCCATCCTTGTCCAGCTCCAATAGGTTATTATCTGTGGACGCCTCAGGTAAGCCCTTCAGAAGTTCTTGGCTGTTGGAAGACCACTTTCTGAGTGTAAAACCTCCTTTCTGTAGCAATGCTATGGTTTGATCACGAATTATTATTGCTTCTTCCTTTGAATTGGCGCCCGTTATTAAATCATCAATGTAAAAATCTCTTCGTGCTATCGCGGCGCCCTTGGGGAAATGATCCTCTTCCAAATCGGCTAGCTGCTGTATAACCTTGGTTGCCAAAAAGGATGCTGAAGCGGTCCCGTAAGTCAATGTTAATAGCTCGTAAGTCTTGATATCTTCACTGGGTTGATCGCGCCAGACAATACGCTGCAGAGAAACCTGAGCTTCATTCAGCAGTACCTGCCGGTACATTTTGGCTATGTCTGCCGTCAAGACGTACTCGAAGCCTCTAAGACGTACCAGTATTGAAAATAACTCCTGCTGTAAAACAGGACCAACCATCAAGACGTCGTGTAAAGAGTATCCAGATGTGGTTTTGCTGGATGCATCAAATACCACTCTAAGTCTAGTAGTATTGCTCGCTTCCTTTATCACGCAGTGGTGTGGCAAGTAATAATGTGGCCGCCGATACCATGCTGCGTCCTCGGATTTTAGCTCTCTCATATGTTTTAACTCAAGGTATTCGTGAATAAAATTCGCATAGTCCATCTTCAATTGAGGGTCTCTCTCCAATCTCCGCTCCAGGACACCAAATCGCCGCAGTGCAATATCCCGCGACTCTCCTAACTTGTGCAGCTCCCCCTGCTTCGTGGGTAGCGTTACCGTAAATCTTCCATCGGAGTTGCGTGTGTACGTCTGCGCAAAATGCCCTTCGCATATGCGCTCCTCGGGTGTTCGCGTATTTTGCCGCTGCGTGTGCTCAATCTGCCAGAAGCGTGCGAGATTCTCATTAAGCTGCTCATTGACGACCAAGCCGCAAATTGTGGCCTTACTTGTTTGGGGCTCGACCAATAAACTGCCGGACACGATCCATCCTAGTAGTGTTTTCTGCCATGTCGGTTGACCATCTGCAATCTTAATTTTCCCGATGCATAGTAACTCGAAGAATACTTCGGCGCCTAGTAGCAAGTCCACCTGCGATGGTTTGTCAAAGTCGGGGTCTGCCAATGTAATGCCCTCAGGAATCCGAAGTTCTTGCAAGCTCAGACGATTGACTGGAATAGTCTGCGTAATCTTCCCGATCACCAGACAGTCAAGATTAACTTGAAATCCATTGATTCTTGATTGTAAAGTCACCTTCACCAAGGTGCGTGTTTGCGTGGACAATTCGCCTAAACCAGAGATCGGCATGTACGTACCATGTCGTTTAATGCCCAGCCTTTCGACACAATTGTCCGTGATAAAACAGGATTGTGAACCATTGTCCAGTAGCGCTCGACAAGGTATCTGCCTGCCCTTCGCGTTCAGGATGTAGACCATTGCCGTTGCCAGGAGTACTTGCTTCCCTTGATGGTTTGCTGCGTGATTTACACTCGTGGCCACTACCTTTATTTTGTCCTCAGCTGATATCTTCGCGCCTGCCGGCTCCTCCTGAATGGCCGCCTGTTCCAAATGCAGCAGCGTGTTGTGCCGCTTGCCGCACTTTCTACAAGATCCAGAACCGCACTGCTTTGCCTGATGCGTCGCGACCTTCAAGCAGTTTAGACACAGCTTGCGTGACTTTGCCTCCTTTATTCGCTGATCCACACCCAATTCCAAGTAGTTGCTGCATTTATAAATCGAGTGGTCTCCTTTTCCACAATGTGCGCACATAACGTTTGTTGTAGCTACATGCGCTGTGGTTCCCTTGCCTTGCTCATGGGAGGTTCCTTTTACTGCCAGTGGTCCAGAGCGCTGTGTACGTGACGATGCTTCCAATGCTCTACATCGCTGCGAAAGAAATTCTGTCAACTGCGTGAACGTGGGTATTTCTCCCTTCTTCAACGACGTTTCCCATTCCTTGTTCGTGACTTGATCCAACCGACTTGTCAGCAGCTGGATTAGCAAGTCGTCCCATTTGTCGGTGGGCCTCTTCAGCGCCTTGAGAGCACGTATGTGCTTCAACATATTGTCTAACATTCGTCTAAGGGCACGATGATTCTCCCTGGGCAAGACAGGCTGCTCGAACAATGACTTAACATGCCGCTGTATTATGGCGCAGTCATCGTCGTATCTGTCTTTCAGTATCTGCCAAGCCTCCAAGTAATTCTCGTCCGAAGGCTCGAGAGAACTAACCAGACCTTTTGCTTCGCCCGTCAATGATGCGAGTAAGAATTGCATTTTTTGTGTATTTGGAATTGTGAGATTATCGTGAAACATACTCTGAAACATATTTCGAAATGGAATCCAGTCATCATATTTACCCGAGAATTCTGGTAACGTAATACGCGGTAATTTCAAATGCTCATTTGTAAGGTTACTTCCCTGCGAAAGTGGCGTCTCCCTGCGTTCGGTGACATTCTGTGTAAGGTCCCGCCGCAGCTGAGTAGCAGCCCGCGAAGCTTCAAGTTTGCTCGCAATCAGCGTCTCCAGTCCCACAGTGGCTGCAAAATACCTATCTTCAAACCCTTTTCTTACTTCAAGATGGATCGAATCATATTTCTCATCGTGCTCGCACTCCTCGATAGCTGATTGAGCTTTCTCGAAGGCACCCCAAAGCTCGGACACCTTTTGCAGTCGCTGACGTAATTCGATTATCGATACTTCTGCTGCGTTTACTTCGGATAAGTACGTGTGCTGTCTTGTGAGACTTCCCTTTACTTGTTTACGCTTTGCCTTGCTTTCCTTTAGCTTGCTCTCTGAGTCGGTCATGTTGGATGTAGCGTTGAATCACAATGCGGCCGCTCAGAAAGTTTTCTCGCGCCAATCTAACCTCTTGCGCCACGACACTGCGATACTTGATGTGGCACCTCTGTCTTGCGCCGGTGCGCCAATCCTCGGCGCTGCCGTACTACGAGGATGATGCAATATGTCGGACGTTCACGTTCGTCACGTACGCCGAATGCCTTTTATGAGGCCTGAAAGCTCGTACCTTTATCGATGCTATCTGCGCTGGGAGACTTGCACCGAAGCGCTTGACTGAGAATATTTCGCGCAGGGCCAGATAATGCTCGCAGCTTACACCCACGACGATAGTACTGTCGCCTTATGCTGCTTCTCTCGGCAACTCAAGCACGAGCCGCTGGCGAGAGATGAAATTTACGTGATTGTCCGGAAAAGGATCCGGCTCGAAGGACCAGAAATGTTGTGTCTTCAAAGTGAAGACCGGTGCATGGCACGTGTTAATCGAATAAATCCGACACGGTTGACGTGGTATTACTCAATTTATTGGTTCTTACAAAATAAACTGCGTATCGGATGCGCTAGCCTGTGCTCGGCTTGACAGTTTCTTACTAACTAACTTCGGTCAGCGCCTCTTTCCCTAGAGGCGCGCTACGTTCACGTCACAAACAGTAAATTAAAAATCCCGCGCTATTTGAATCTCTCTTGCGAATATGCTTACCACAACACTTGCGTTTAAGTAAAAAACTGCACAGCATTGAAATGTAACAGGAAAAGACGCGAGAGAATGTATTACATTTTTTTTAAATGAACGTTGCACTGAATATGTAAATTGCTTCGATATACGAACGGCACTAATCTGGACTTGTGCATTTGCTAAAAGAGAGAAGCGCTGTTTGTTTACCACGCATCGAAGTCAACGAACAGAGGATTATCGCAGCGGGTCACTTTTGTATGCCTCTTTTTTTAGATCAAATAACAAAATTTGTTCGTTCGCGAAGGTCACAATTGCAGGACAAAGTGTCCGTTAACGAGAAAATTGAAAGGAGCGGCAGGAACCCGAGGCGAAATCGAGTGACGTTCGTGCCGAGCGATTCTCTCGTTCGCGCGCGAAGTCAATTGAGCCGCTCTTTTTCTCTCGATTTCGGTGGCGCGATTATCTAAATCGCCTGTGAATGAAGAGACGGAGCGTGAAAGATAACTGAGGCTAAAGCCCGATCTACAATGTACTCCCTGGGTCCGGAAACATTCCACCTCGTGGTCAATAAACGCGTTTAAAAAATTTGCACAAGTAGACAAATCGTACATTGTACAACCGTACGTTGTCGACAAATTTTTTTTAAGCGTTCCGATTTGCCTATGCACATGCAAAATGGAATGTTTCCATATGCAGAGAGCGCACTGTAGATTAGGCTTAATACCAGTGGCGGAGAGCGAGGAGGAAACGGGAACGGCCGGTGGGCACTGCGCGAGCAACTGTACCGGACTGACGCGATGAGGCCCGCTTATCGAGAATCGTATCAATTACGCTGTAATTCAGTATGATATGTCACGTGCGACGCGTGCTGCACTGGTCAAGCGGCGACTACTCAATGCTGCGGCCGATCTAACTATTTTAAAGTCGTCCCCACTCCACTTCCGAGGATACCCCGACGGAGGAATTGCGTTACACGCGAGACGTTTTCGTAAGACAAACTCCGTAAGGCTCGTCACTACCTTCGGGAATCTCGAATAAACAGTAACGGGAAGTGACGCCGCGCCGCTGATAACGAGCGGCGATACGATCGTTCTTTTCAACAATCGCGCAAATTGAATTCGATTATAGCGACGATCAACGTACGTAACCCGAGGCTTGCGTTTCGTCTTCCGATTCGAAGGCGTGCCTCCGCTTGCGTTTAGGTATTGTATGTAATTTCATACGTATTTTATTACGTAATTTGTGTACATGCCATTGTTGGTATTACCAATAATTTGTATATTGTGGATATCCTATGTAATATCTTTCAAAACTTCATAAACAAAATAGTTTTCTAAAGTTACACTTTTAAATAAATACACATATGAATCATGTTACAAACAGAGACAGAGTAACCTTTATTTTAAATATCTATACATAAAGTAATTAGTAATCAATATAAAGCAATTTTGATTGTCTGTCTTTTGCTTCTTTGACTGTCTGTCTTTTGCTTTGACTAGCCATGATTTAATCACTGCATCAATATCCGCAAATGAGGCTGTATGTACTTTTTGTACCGCATCTATATATTCCATACCAAGTTATTTATCAATATTTATCAATATTTATTATTTTATAGCAATTTATGAATCCATACATACTTAAAATTGTGGATGTAACATACAGGGTGATTCAAAATAGGTATAGTGTCCCTGAAATGTCGTATTCCTGATTAAATTC